CCACAATGACAATTTAATTATGAGACAAACAAAGAAAAAAAGACAAGACAAATATTTCTGCAGAGTTTCTCTCTGCCCACAAACTGTGGAAAACTTTCTTAATCACTTGCAACTGCAAATTATGTGATTACAATGAATTGACTTACTTGACTTGCTTTGAAAAATAGGGGTTACTCCCTCTATTTATAACTGAGCTTACACCCTAAGCCCAAAGCCCAAAATATCTTTTTGTTACTAAATCAAATCAAATCAAATCTATTCTGGACTTAAATCAAATCTATTTAAATCTAAAATAAATCAAATCTTCTTTGACACTATGAATTACAATTTAACACACCACCTAATTCATTGTGTCTAAACTGTCTATGTTCATCATGGCTCTTAGCTTTCTGAATACTTCGACTTGCACTCCCTTCGTCATGATGTCTGCAATCTGATTCTCAGTTTTGCAGTATTCCAAATTCATCTTCCCATCTGCTACCTGCTCTCGAAGATAATGGAATCTCATTTCGATGTGCTTACTTCGACCATGTGCTATTGGGTTCTTTGCCAGGTTAATAGCTGACATGCTATCTATCTTCATGGTAATTGCTCCATGATTTTTCCCTGTTATCTCTTCGACCAAGTTCACCATCCAAGTTGCTTGACATGCACAAAGAGAAGCATCTATGTATTCTGCTTCGCATGATGATAATGCCACTACTGGTTCCTTTCTTGAATTCCAAGCAATTGGTGCACCACCTAGCATAAACACATATCTTGCTGTTGACTTTCGATCTTCAACATCACTACACCAACTCGAATCAGTGTATCCCACTAACTTGCATTATTTTCCTTTATCAACTGCAGGAAACAAAATGCCATAATCGAAAGTTCCTTTGAGATACCTTAGTATCCTCTTCACTGCTGCTAGATGTGATACCTTTGGCTTCTGCATAAATCTACTTACCATACCTACACTGTATGCTAAGTCAGGCCTTGTATGACAAAGATATCTTAATGATCCAATAAGTCTTCTGTATTGGGTTGGATCAACATCATCTTCATATGCATCTTTCAACAGTTACAATCTTGGTTCTGCAGGTGTCGAAGTTGAGTTGCATTCTTCCATCTCAAACCTCTTGAGAATTTCTCCTGCATATCTTCTTTGATGCATCATCAAACCTCTACTGCTCTTGTAGAATTCGATACCAAGGAAATATGAAATCTCACCCAAATCAGACATTTTGAATTCCTTGCTGAGATCACCTTTAAAGTCTTCGATCTCACTTTTACAGCTACCTGTTATCAACAAATCATCTACATAGAGACATAATATAAGCAATTTACTCTTGCTTCTTCTTACATATACTCCATGTTCAGTTGTGCACTTCACAAATTACTTCTCCCTTAGAAAACTATCAATTTTCTTATTCCAAGCCCTTGGAGCTTGTTTCAATCCATACAGGGCTTTATGTAGCCTGTACACCTTTCTTTCTTCGTCATGTTTCACAAACCCAACTGGTTGTTTAACATAGACTTCTTCATCTAAGGGTCCATTTAAGAATGCACACTTCACGTCCATCTGACATATGTGCCAACTGTTTATTTCTGCTAGACCAACAACCAACCTGATTGTTTCGATCCTAGCAATAGGTGCAAAAACTTCATCGAAGTCTATTCCTTCTTTCTGTAGAAATCCTTTCGCCACAAGTCTTGCTTTGTGTCGAGTTACTTCACCTTTCAAATTTGTTTTCACTTTGTATACCCACTTGACATCAATTGCCTTCTTGCCTTGAGGCAATTCGCCAAGTGACCAAGTGTTGTTGTCTTCGATAGACTTTACTTCTTCGTTCATTACTTTCACCCACTTTGAATCTTTTAATGCTTCAGCTGCATTAACAGGTTCGACATCTGCATAGAAAGCATAATGTACCAGCTCACCTTCATTATCTATTACATCATCTGATGTAATCACACAATCTTGCAATCTTGTAGGCATGCGTCTTGTTCTTTGAGGTCTGCTTGTACTTGGTATATCTGTTGGTTCCTCTTGTCGAACTTCTCTTTTGACTTGAGTTTCTGGCTCTTCGAATAGGATTCCCACTGAATATTTCTTGACATTTGCAGTCCAATCCCATTCTTTAAACTCATCTATGATCACGTCCCTGTTGATCACAATCTTCTTGTTCTCTGGATCAAACAACTTGTAGCCTCCTGTCGAATGATATCCAACTAGGATCATTTGACTTGACTTGTCATCAAGTTTTCTTCTCAACTGATCTGGCACATGTCTATGTGCAATAGATCCAAATACCTTCAGATGACTCAAGCTAGGCTTCACACCAGACCAACATTCTTCTGGAGTAATTCCTTCTAGCTTCTTTGTAGGACATCTGTTCAAAATGTATGTTGCAGTCGAAACAGCTTCACCCCAAAACTCTTTAGGTAAACTCTTGCCTTTCAACATACTTCTCACCATATTCATGATGGTTCTATTTTTCCTTTCTGCAATTCCATTTTGTTGTGGAGTATAGGGTGGCACCACCTCATGCATAATCCCTTCCTTTTCACATAATCTATCGAAGTCTTTCGACACATATTCTCCACCACCATCAGTTCTCAAAACTTTGAGCTTTCGACCACTTTGTCTTTCGACCATAGACTTAAACCTGGTAAATACTTCGATCACTTCACTTTTCTTCTTGATCAGGTAAGTCCATAGCTTTCGACTGAAATCATCTATGAATGTAACAAAGTATTTGTTACCTCCCATCGGATCCACCTAGATTGGTCCACATACATCAGAGTATATGACTTCAAGACTAGCCTTCGATCTGCTTCCTGCATCCTTGCTGATGCTATTCTTGTGTTGCTTCGCCTGCACACATTCCTCACATACCTCGTTTGGAATGTCAATTTATGGCAATCCTGAAACCATATTTCTTCTCTTCAAATCTCTGATGTCTCTGAAGTTGAGATGACCTAGTCTATAATGCCATATCCATTCATCTCTGCTAGCTGTAGTCGAAAGGCACTTGTGCTCCATCACATTTAGTTCAATCTTGAAGGTTCGATTCTGAGACATAGGAGCCTTTAAGATTACTCTCCCATTTGCATCAACGAATCTCATCAACGAATCTCATCAACTTATCTTTGATTGACACTTTATAATTCTTTTCGACCAACTGCCTTATACTGAGCAAATTGCTCTTCATGCCTGGTATGTACAACACATTGGAGATTACTGACCTTTTGCCATCTTTCCTCATAATCATAACATCACCAATACCTTCAGCTGCTAGGGTATTGTCATTTGCAAATTTTACCATATTTTTTCTTTGAGGGCTTTATATTGACAAACCAGTCTTTCCTTCCAGACATATGTGATGAACATCCTGAATCCAAGTACCATTGGTCCTTGAATCTATCTTCATCTCTTGTTGTGACCATCAACATTATCTCTTCTTCTTCATGTTTTGCAAGCTTTGCATCACTTTCTTGATTCTTTCGTTTTTCTGGACAATCACTCGAATAGTGTCCATATTTCTGACAATTGTAACATTGAATGTGACTCTTATCAGGTTTTTGACCACCACCTCTTCCTCTATTTGCAACACTACCTCTTTGGTTGCCTTGGTATGATCTTCTTTGATTCGACACGTCTCCTTCGATTTGGTTTCCTCTACCATTCGATTTGTTGTAGCCACCTCTACCTCTGTCGAAACACTTTCCTTTGCCTTTGGTCTCTTTTGCTGAATGTGCCTGCAAGGCCAGATCACTCTTCGATTTTCCTGCAGCTCTTTCGTTCATTCTTTGTTCATGAGATTCAAGCGTCCCTTGAAGCTCTTCCTTTGTCAATTTCGACAAGTCTTTCCCCTCTTCTATCACCACCACTATGTGGTCGAACTTAGGAGCTAAAGATATCAAGATCTTCGACACAACAGCTCTTGTTGTTAACGCTTCTCCACATATCTTGATTTGATTTACTAGTTTTGTAACTCTAGTGAAGAAATCAGATATGTTTTCACTGTCTTCCATCTGAAGTAGTTCATAGGTCCTTTTGTGAGTTTGTAACCTCACTTCTTTCACCTTCTCAGCGCCTCCAAAAGACTTCTCAAGGATCTCCCAAGCTTCTTTTGCAGATTCTGAATCACTAACCTTTTCGAAATTGTCTGGGCTGACACATTGATGAATTATAAATAATGCTTTATAACTCAGCTTCTCAGATTCTGTGTATTTCTTCTTTTCTTCTTCTGAAGCGTTTTTGCCAAGCGCTTCGACTCCATCTTTTACAAGGTCCCAAAGACCTTGACACCTGAATAAGACTTTCATCTGTTTGCACCAATTCTCATAGTTGTCAACTTTCAGAATTGGTAGCGTTGCTGGATAGTTTGCATTCCCATAACTTGTCATCGTGAATTCTTCAATCGTTCTTGATTGACACTTCCCTTGAATCGAAACAAAAGCTCTTGATACCAGATGTTGGAAATCCCCCAAATTCTATGATGAATTTTTACCACAATGACAATTTAATTATGAGACAAACAAAGAAAAGAAGACAAGACAAATATTTCTGCAGAGTTTCTCTTTGCCCACAAACTGTGGAAAACTTCCTTAATCACTTGCAACTGCAAATTCTGTGATTACAATGAATTGACTTACTTGACTTGCTTTGAAAAATAGGGGTTACTCCCTCTATTTATAACTGAGCTTACACCTTAAGCCCAAAGCCCAAAATATCTTTTTGTTACTAAATCAAATCAAATCAAATTTATTTTGGACTTAAATCAAATCTATTTAAATCTAAAATAAATCAAATCTTCTTTGACACTATGAATTACAGTTTAACAAATCTTAGAGGATTTATTTAACCCCCTAACATTCCAATCTACAATTATTGATCATTATTTTGAAGTTCTAGGAGATCATTCAAAATCCCTAGAGCATCAAACCCATTATCACAAATCAGCTTACCAGAAGTTTTGTCTTGATAGCCTTCATAAATCTGCCTTTTTCCTCTATCCTTTTCCACTTTTCTGAACTTTTGACCATTTTTCTTCTCCATCAGTGCTCTTATCTTTGTTTGTAGCACTATCAGGCTCCTTAGTAACATTGAGAGTGGTGTGAACTACTGCTGGTTCTTTATTCTCCTCTATAGGCTTAGGTTTTGGCTTCCATTGCATTCCTTTTGGCTTAGACTTGTCACAATTGTGACCAACCTTTTGACATTTCCCATAAAATAGAGGCCTTCACTCATACTCTATAGGCTGAAGCAATTTTTCTCCATCTTTATCTTTGATAGTAATACTTTTGGGAAGCTCCTTTGTAATATCCACTTCAACTAGAATTCGAGCATAGGAAACACGGAGTCTATTTGCATTGCACTCATCAGTGACAATCGGTTTAACTAAGGCACTTCCAATCTTGTTAAGACTAACTTCTCACCATAGATAAAGAGGAAATTGAGGGAGTTTAACCCATATGGGAAGAGTACGAAGTAAATCATCTTTCTGGTTAAAATTTAAATAAAATTTCATTTTTATAAATTTAACATTATTTATTTATTTTATATATTTAACATAATTGTAAATATAAATAAAATTGGATTTCAAAAAGGACACCAAAACTTAAGAAAAATGAAAATAGGAGGATCAAAATTATAATTAAGCTAAAAAACAAACATAAAAAAATCAATCTATCGGATCAAGAAATCCAGTAGTTCATTGGTATAACCAGTGAACCTACTGGGTCACATCGGTTTTCTTAGGGATAATTGCAAATATGGTCCAATGATCTTACTGGACCGTTATATCCTCTAGTTTACGATCTAATCGGTCTGACTGGTCAGAATGGTCTGGGTTTTAAAACTATGACAATATTTTAAAACTCAGATCGATTATCAACCTGGTCAAGCTATTGGATTACTGGGTTACTGGTTAGACCAGTGGGCCACTAGTCGGACCGCATGACTTCTAATAATGTGAAAATATGATTTTATTTTTCTTTGGTAACATGATTTTTCTAAAAACTTTTGTTAATTTGTAGTATTATTCTATTGTATAAGTAAATTTCCAAATTTATAAATTTATTATATTATTGTATTGTATGATTAATAATAAATAAGTTTAATGAAAAATTACATTAGAGAGAAATATTATAATTATAAAATATATCATTCTTTTCTCTTTGACCAAATTAAATATTGAAGAGATTCGTGTTGCAGTTGATAAAACTACAATCTTAATAGTTTTGAAAGGTTACATGTCTGATGCTTAAAATTTAACAATATTTCATTTTTATAAATTTAATATTGTTTAGTTATTATAAATATTTAACATAATTATAAATATAAATAAAATTGGATTTTAAAACAGGACACCAAAACTTTAGAAAAATGAAAATAGGAGGATCAAAATTATAATTAAGTTAAAAAACAAACATAAAAAAATCAATTCGTCGGATCAAGAAACCCACTGGTTCACTGGTCTAACCAGTGAACCTGTCAGGTCACATTGGTTTTCACCGGGTCAATTACAAATATGGTCTAATGATCTTACCGGACCGCTCTATCTTCTGATTCACGGTCTAAGCGGTCCATTCGGCCGGAACGGTCCGAGTTTTAAAACCATGATGTTAAATATACACATGAAGTTTATGTTTTCACTTAAAATATTTATTGTTGTTTTACTACACATTTTCATCTTCAATTGATTTACAATATATAAAAAATAATAAAAAATGAAAACTCAAAAATGATTCAGATCTAAATGATCAGATCTAAAAAATTCAAAAAAAATGTTGCAGATCTACAAGATTTAAAAAATAATACAAATCAAATCCATTAGAAGAATTAGAGAGATGGATAAATGATTACACTTGGGTTGCTTGGTGTATCTTCTTGCTATAGTTTAATCAATAGATATGGAAGCGAGTATGTCCGAAGAAGTCATTTTTTGTATCGAAATCTGGGCAGACCATAGAAACAAAAAGTTTTATAACACAGAAACAAAATGTATATCACTCCCCTGGCCATGATTAGGAAAAAACAAATAAGATGGAAAGGAGGAAAAAGTGAAATATGTTCAGCCTCTATGAGGAGTAGAGAAGTTATCACTACCAAATATCCAATCATCTTTGATGAGTAGAGAAGTTGTCACTAGCAAGATGAACTCTTAATTACCCACTATAAGAAGTGTACTCATGATGATTTGACAACACCATATTAGAATTGAGTAGAGTGTGCAGAGGGAAGAGAAGATTTTGGAATAGGGTAGAGTACGCAGAGGGAAGAGAAGTTTTTGGTATTTATGAAACAGGAATATCAGTAAAAAAAGTTGAAAAGTATGAACTGAATCATTTGAAGAGGCAAGTGTGAGAGTAAATAAAATTGGTAGAAGTTTAGAAAAGTTTAATACATGGCACAATTGGAAGAAGGTTGGAGAAGAAAAAGAGCAGTCGTGGTAATTTGCTGAGCAAGTAAGGGTATTTAGGGTATTTCCATAACACTTACTTTTCTTATATGATAGATTTAGTTAAGGTTCAAATCTAGCAAAATATACACGAGCCTCTTAAATCTAGTTACATGTTTTAATGAACTTAGTTTATACATTATTTAACCATAACTAAATTGAAAGCTATGTCCTCTAGTCCACCTTGCATATTCTTATCACTCGTTTGGGGGAAAATACTTAAAATTGAAATAATTTAATTAAAAAAATTAAATATAATATAAATAAATATTAGTAAATGATTGATTGAATCACGACATCCAATTCTCTGTGATGACTAGAGAAGTTGTCACTACCAAATATCCAATTATCTTTGATGAGTAGAGAAGTTGTCACTAGCAAGATGAACTCTTAATTACCCACTATAAAATAAAAAGTTAGATGATATCCAATTGTTTGAGGTTTTAACTTGACACCCCCTCCCCCGCTTATGCTCCACACCCTCTATTTTTTATTCCCAAAATGCCCCTGTTACTATTTACCTCTAAATTTTTTATATTTGTCAAAAATTATTTACTATTGGTCAAAGTGATGAAAAACGAAATTTCTGGTATCGAATTGGGCGATTATCGATTTTTTTTTGTATTTTCAAAATTTCTGGTTGTAATTAACCTGAAATTTCAAAATTTCTAGGGCGATTTACCCGAAAATTCAAATTTCCAAGTCGATTTTAAAATTTTTTCCATAACACTTTCCGAAAATTTCCAAAATTTCCAGTAATCAGCAAAATACCAGAAATTTTTGCAAATACTTAAAATTTCCAATATGTCTGTAGATGAAATTTTATACTTGTGTAGTCCATAGCCGACAACTTCAACTTCTTCTACAGATTCGTGTATAAATTTTACGCAGTTCTTCACCACATATACCGTATGTTTCATATTGATTTATACATTTTTATTTGTTTTCTGACAATTATGAAATTGATAAAATTTAGTAATTTTATATTGTAATTGACAAAAAATTTAAATCCCAGTATGAAGTTTTAGAACAGGCACAATCTATTGGTAAAAGCATGGTATTATTGTTGTTACAGTTTGATCCGACTCTACTAATGGAAAGTGAGGGAGGAAGAATAAATTAATTATAGGTTATGAGAGAGGAGGAAATTACATTCAGTACTATCATAAATATCAATTTTCTGATATTTTTGTACTAATCGAAATTTTCAAATTTCCAGTACATACACGTTGACACTTACCAGAAATTTGAAATTTCAAGTACCCGAAATTTAAAATTTTTGGTTACACACAAAAGCATCGGTAAAAATCGCTAAATTTAATGAAATTTCTGATATCACGATGAAATTTTTCGTATGGCGCTGCAAATTTTGAAAATTTCAGTATATATTAGGGACATTAACGTAAATGTGCCAAAATTTGGTGGGTGGGGGCGGGGGGGTGTAAAGTTAAAACCTCCAATTATTTGTTACTCCCTCCGTTTCTTTATAATTGTCATTTTTTTAATACTTTTTACACATTAAAAAAAAGGTGATAATTGTTGTTACTTTTTAAATAATAACTTTCATTTTATCTAGGAATGTAAATGGATATCCATGAGAACGGATAGTATTATATTTGTATCCGCCTCATTGAATAAATATGATATCCATATTGTTTCCATATTTGTGCGAGTATCCGTTAAACAAATAATTCACAGGTTTTAAGATATTTACGGATATTTATGGACAACATTTTTTTTCATATTTATTTTTTGAAAAAAAATATTTTCAACTTCTTTTAAATACACAAAGTTGTTATCACATGACATTAATACAAATCTCTCTTATTTTAACAATAAAGTTGTATCACATTAATTTCCTTCGTTTTACCAATACATAATATCCATACATTTCATTTTTAACAAAATATAAAAGATATTGTGATTGTGAGTTATGGTGAAAGAGCGAACAACGAAGAAGTAGAAAGAAAGGCACTGATTAGACAGGAAAAATAGTTGAGGTGAGGTATGGAGTAAAGGAAAAGCTTAAATCTGAAATGACCAATATGATTTATATAAATTGTAAAAGTTTTTATTCAAAGAAAATTTAGAGAGAAAAAAACGAAAAAACTAGTTTTTAGAAGATGAAAAGTCATAGTATAATAAATTAATATTTAAGTAATTCTTATAATTTATTAACGGATACGAATATCCGTGGGCATAGGTATCATTAACATGTATTCATATCTATTACTAAACAAATATTTAAATACCCATTTATTTTATCTGCAGATATCTATTTAGCTACCGTCCCATATTCGTAGCAGATTTTATGCGCAGATATCCACGGATACGGGCTTTTTTACCATCCCTAATTTTATCTATAATATCTTGAACAAATTATTATTTTAATTTTCTTATTCTCTCTCCATAATAAATATTATGGATAATTTTTTCGAAACAATAATCATTACTACTTTGAAGTTTGAAAGTGACAATTAAAAGGAAATAATTTTTTTTTCAAAAAAAGTGAAAATTAAAAAGCAACCGAGAAAGTATCTTTGATGAGTAGAGAAGTTGTTACTACCATGGTGAACTCTTAATTATCCACTATAAAAAGTTGGATGATACTTTTTTATTTGTGACGAGTAGAAAAGTTATCAACAAAGTAAATTTTTAATTACCCATTATAAAAAAGTTAAACAAAATTACCCTTAGGTAGAGTTGTTCGCACTGCAATTTAGATTGGTTTTAAGATAAAAATTCATCTGATTCAAAGATAAATTTACTTGTGATTTTGTTCAATTTTAGATGATTGATTAAACAAATTGTATCTGAACCAATTTTATATAGTTTAATGTGAAACCGTTTTTAGATATCTAAATTACAAACTATATTTTTTATTAATATTATAAAAATAATAATAAATAATAGCTTTGATATAATATATAATATATAATATGTTAAAAGTTAATATTAAAAACAATGATAATGATCGAT